GCTGGTCCACAGGCAGGCCAGGCCGTGAGCGTGGGCCGGTCGGGCCTGATCCTGCGGTGAGCACTGGAGGGCTATGCGGCTCGCTCCGTCAGCCGACTTGCGCCGTCGAGCGGTCGAGCGCTTCGGGTTGGACCCGCGGGAGGGTCCCTGCGCGGCTGACATGGCCAGCCAAGCCGTGTGCGCTGCCGTGGGCGCTGTCGTGGGTGCTGCCGTGGGTGCTGCCGTGGGCGCTGCTGTGGGCGCTGCCGTGGGCGCTGCCTCGGTCAGCAGTCGGTCAGCAGTCGGTCAGCAGTCGGTCCGCTGCTCGGCGCTGGCCTGCAGGCCGCCGGTGGCAAATCGGGGGGGCGCGGGCCATGGACGTCGTGGCCGAGCTTTGCTGCCTTCTTGCACGTTGCCGGCTGTAACGTTGCCTGCACCATGGCCGCGCCTCTCTTGCTTGTGCGCTTTCATGGTCGAGCCGAGTGGCGCGAGAGTGAGCGTGATTTCTTTTGTCTGTCAGGACTCTAAGTTTCTGTCAGGACTCTCAAGTTTCTGTCAGGACTCTCAAGTTTGCTTGTCAGGACTCTCAAGTTTGCGTCAGGACTGCCCCATCAGGACGATTCCGCAGAGGGCGCGCACGGTCGAAAGGGGGGCTGGGCGTCTATCATTCACTGCTGGGGGGGAGGGGAAGGAGGGTTGCAGTGAAGGAAGGTGGAGGTCTCGTCGGAGGCACTTGTGAGCACTGTGAAGACCGTGCGCCGTCAGGACCCCGCCAGGACTCTGTCAGGACTCTGTCAGGACTCTGTCAGGACTCTGTCAGGACTCTGTCAGGACTCTGTCAGGACTGTCAGGACAGGTGCGGGAGGTCCACAAACCAGGTTCGACCTCAACCTCCTCGGCATCGAGAAGAGAGACGACGACGGCAACCTCACCGGCACCCGTCCCATCGGCATTCCCGCCGCGATCCGCCGCCTCGCCAACCGCGTGCTCATGAAGCATCGCAGCGCCGACATGTGCGACCTCTTCACCGGCGGCACGCCTGACATGAGACGCACGGTCCGCGACGGCATGCGCGAGATCTGCCTCCGCCCCACCGAGGACGGCGGGCTCGGCATGTCGGCGGAGGAGGCGGAGGCGCGCGTCATGGCGTGCAACATCCCCCTGCAGGTCGGCGTGGGACTCGCTGGCGGAGCCGAGGTGGCGATTCAGCTGCTGCAGGAGCATCTGCGGCGCAACCCCGGCCACGCGATCGCCTCGGACGACAAGCGCAACGGCTTCAACTGCATCTCTCGCAAGGCCATCTTTGCGGGCCTGCGGCGGTGGTTCCCGGAGCTCATCCCGACCGTCGCGCTGTGGTATAGCGAGCAGCGCCGCCTCTTTCTCTTCAACGCAGAGGCGCGGTGCAGCTCGGGCGACACCTTCATGTCGACCGAGGGCTGCGCGCAGGGCGATCCTCTCGGGCCCTTCCTCTTCGCCGTCGGCTATCATTGGACCCTGCTCGAGATGCAGGTGCGCAACCCGTCCGCCCTAATTTGCGCGTACCTGGTCGTCTTTTTGCCCCCGAAAAAACTTTTCTCTTCGCCTGTGTCCTATGAAGTAACAACAACAAAGTAGGAGAGGGTAGACATGAGGGGCTCGTATTGGCCCCAGGGAAACCAGAGGGTGGTTGGAGCCCCACCTTGATGACACCTACGTCGCGGACGCGCCGAGGGCGGCTCTCGAGACGATGCTCGAGGGCGACGACCTTGCTCAACTCTGGAGTGGCGTCGAGAGCAACAAGTCCAAGCGGTGCATGTGGGCCCCCGACCCGCGCTCGCTCGACGCGGTGCGCGACCACACGGATGTCAAGGGCACGCCGGACTCCGCAGACGGCGTCCTTCGCGGTATTCGCGTGCTCGGGGCGTACCTCGGGGACAAGGCGTGGTGCCGTGACAAACTCGTCAAGCGCGTCCGCAAGGCGCTGGAGCCGCTCTCGGGCATCATGGCGCTGCGCGACACCAAAACGATCCACACCGCGCAGCAGCTCGCCCAGGTGCTCCTCCGCTTCTGCAGCAACACCACGCTCACCTTCTTCCTTCGCACTATGCCGCCGTCGGTGACCCAGGACGCCGCGCGCGAGCACGACCGCCTGATGGAGGAGGCGCTCTACACCCTCGTGGGTGGCGCGCGGGTCGGACGCAACAGCCCACGGTGGCGGGTCGCTGTTCAGCAGGCCCGACTTCCGGTCAGGATGGGCGGTATGGGCCTGACCAGTGCCATGGACATCCGTGAGGCGGCGTGGGTCGGCACGTGGGCCCTCGTCACGCGGCCGATACGTGAGCTGCACGAGCCATTCCGCGACCTCGACGTGGCCCTCGCGCCGGGAGAGCGCTTCGACGAGCTTCGGGAGGCTCACAAACGCCTCCGCGCCCTGCGCGACGAGGTCGGCAAGACGTGGCGCGAGTGGGACGGGCGCACGCTATACCAAGACGTCGTCGGGCCCTTCAAGGAGACCAAGGCGGTGCCACGGCGCCGCTACCACCCGCCCAAACTTACGCCGGCGGCGGAGCTGCTGGATCTTTCGGAGTTCTCGTCTACCAGCGAGTTCTTACAGCAGGCGCAGCGGCGGTACACCGTCGGCGTACACCATCGCAACTGGCTCGCCCTCGCCGACGCCTTCGTCAGCGAGGCATCCCGGCAGGGCGGCCGCTACAAGACTGGCAGGTGCAAGAACCACAAGTGCTGGCGCGAGGCGATTCGGTTCGTCGCAGTCAGCCAGGAGGGGGCTGGCGCCTTCCTGAATGCGATCCCCATGCGGGATGATATGAAGATGGAGACGTGGGCGATGCGCATGACAGTTCAGCGCCGCCTCGGCCTCCCGCTCGATGTTGCCTGCCAGGCGGTGGAGGCGGGCAAGAAGGCGCCAAACGGCAAGCCGCACGAAGAACTCGGCGATGCCGCAATGGTCAACCCGCGTGCGAAGCACGCAACACGACACAAATACCTGCTCAAACGACTCGTCAAGACCCTTCGCTCGGCGTGGGGCATGCTCATCGAGATGGAGCCGACTGCACACCTCAGTTACAGTAACCCAAAACAACCTGACGTGGCGGCGGCGAACATCGGCAAAGGGCATGTGCGCCTCGTTGGCGACTTGAAACTGACGAGCTCGCTTGCGTGCAAGGGTGGCGATCGGCTCGGCTGGAAGGGGGCTTTTGTCGCCTTCGGCAACACCGAGCGGGAGCTGCTCGACTTAGTGTTAGGGCATGCTGACGCCCGATTAGCGCTGCGCGCGGCCGGGCAAGCGCTGCGCGCCATTCGAAAGGCTCGACTGCATCTTCGACCGCATCTTCTGCGTATATTTTGCGCCCCTAGAGCAGCTCGCGGAGGAGCAAAGGACGCCCGATTAGAGAGATATTGGAGAGATATTTGTTTTGCCCGATTAGCGCTGCGCGCGGCCGGGCAATAAAATAAAAAAGAGAAATCAAGCGAGGGATGGGAGGACGGCACGCCGCCGCCACACAGGGATTTTAAGGAGAGGAGTGTGATGCAGAAGGAGGTAGAAGAAAAAGTAAAAAGCAAACTCGTCTAACTGCCATGTCACGGCCGGTCGGCTGCTCTCGCCCCGCTGGCGGCGCGGTCTGGTGCCGCGGCGCCCAGCTCTCCTGTGGGCTCGCGGCGGCTCGCCGCCGCGGTGCCGAACAATGTGATCAGTCCGGATTCGTCCCGGCGTGCCGCCGGTGCCGTTTCCTCGCCGATTTTTGGCTCGACCAGTTTGTCGACAAAGTTGCCTCCGAGCTCCTGCTGCTCGACTGCGCGGCGGAACCGGCCCATCGCGGCTGAGACGTGATGCGCCGGCACCGGGGCAACGGCGCGGGACCAATTCCAGGCTCTCTCGAGCAACCTCAAATTTGGCCGATTTTGTGGATCTCAACCCTGCTGCTCTCTGACCACAACCTCGCGGCCCGCCGCGCGGCCCTCCGAGCGCGAGAGGAGTCGTCTACGAGGCGGCGGCGAGCGCAGGCGGCGGCGGCGCGGCGGCGCGGCGGCGGATCGCGGCGCAGACAACGGCAGCAATCTGGCTGCTGCTTGCTGCTGCAGCAGCTGCTGCTGCGGCTGCTGCTCCGCTGCCGCTGATTGTGGACACGATTCCCCCGATAACCCTGCCCGCCCGCTCCGCCCCGCCCGCCCGCCGCTCCCCGCTTGCTTGCCCGCCCGCCCGCCCGCCCGCCCGCCCGCCCGCCCGACCGACCACCCATTCCCATCACCATCTCACATACCTTCATATAGGCGCTCGAGACCTCCTCTCGCGGCCTACTCGCTGCCTCGAGGGAGGAGGGGAAGACGTCGAGCTGAGCTTGCCTCGCTTGTACCGAGGCCCCTCCCCGAAAGGCAAGTCTTAGCCACATGAAATCCGAGACCCCTCCCCACCGCCCCGATCCCCCCACCCCCTTGCTCCCCTCCCCCCCTCGGGAGGGCCGAACTGAGGCGCCCGTGGGGACCCCGCACTTCCCTTCCCCCCTCGGAGGGCCGGACTGAGGCGTCGAGGGCCCCGCTCTTTCCCTCGCATAGCGGCCACTCTTCGGATCGCTGGTCGAGCGACCCGGGGGATGCCCCGCGCGCCTGACCCAGGCGCGGAAACGAATCTGCGAGGCGTGGCCGCTCATGCGGCCCGATGGGGAGGAGGGGAAGACGTAGGGCGTGCTTGCGCGCCTTTCCGAGGCCCCTCCAACCCACCCGCGCTAGGTCTCGGGTTTGACGCATGGGGTCACTCCCGCGAAACTCGGGAACTAGCCGGGGCAGTCGGAGAAGGGGCAACTCCTAGGGCAACTCCGTGCACTGACGGTCGGCCGTCAGAAAACACGCCTCCGTGGCTCGGGTTACACCAATCCTCGCTACCCAACGCGGCCAAAGGATATCCACCTCGAGAACCTCGAGAAGGAAAAGAGACGAAGCACAAAAGAAAACCGCGGAATTCGAAAGGCGTGCCGCTCTCGCGGTCTGCCAAGCGCGGCTCAGTCCGACAACGCACCGACGCGCATATGCAGCCCGGGCCGAAGCGCCGAGCTGTCCGCCGTCCGCACCGTCCCGGTGCGGCCGGCGTCTCGCTCGGCGCCCTGCCGGCGGCTCCTGCGCCGGCTGCGGCCGCAGCAGCAGTCGAGGCCGACGAAGAGGACGAGTGGGAGAGGGCGTGGGCGGCGGACGCCGAGGACGGGGAGGAGGAGGTTGGGTACCTCTGGGGCATGAACATCGTGACGGGCAGCGTCGCCGAGGGCGGCGGCGGCGGCGGCGGCGGCGGCGGCGGCGGCGGCGCGGCGGCGCGCGAAGAGCGGCGGCGGCGCGGGTCGCTCGTGCAGTTCTCGTACGGGACGTACGACGGGGTGCAGCTGTCGGCGGTGGAGGTGCGCAGGCTCAAGGACGAGGAGCGCGCCGCGCTGCTCGCCTCGCGCAAGCTCGTCCTTGTCCTCGAGCTCGCAGACTCTAGGAACCTTCTAGGAACCTTCTAGGAACCTTCTAGGCTCGTCCTCGTCCTCGACCTCGACCACACGCTGCTCAACTCGGCGACACTGCAGGAGCTCACTGCACCTCGGCGCATCTCGGCTCGGCTCGGCTAGACTCGGCTAGACTCGACTCTTCTCGGCTCGTCTCAGCTCGTCTCAGCTCCCCTCAGCTTCTCTTCTCCTCTCGACCTAGCCACTCCTCCGCTAGGTCCGCACTGCTTAACCTGTCCCGGCCATGCCTCGGCCATACCTCGGCCGTACCTCGGCCATACCTCGGCCGTACCTCGGCCATATCTCAGCCGCCTCGGCCTCACCCCCGGCCACATCTCCGCCATCCTCGCCGCAGGAGCTCTCGACTGAGCAAGCCGACGCCGTCGCCGCCGCCGCAAACGTCCCGATCTGGACCAAGCCGCCGCCAGCAGAGAAGCCGCCAACGGGAGGCGGCGGTGGTGGCGGCAGCGCTGGCGGCGGCGGTTGTAGCGGCGGCGGCGGCAGCAGCGGCAGTGGCGGCGGTGCGACCTCGGAGGCGATCTCGGAGGAGGACCTGATAGAAGAGGAGGAGGAGGAGGAGGAGGGGGCAGGGTCGGAGGAGGAGGCGGTGCAAGAGGCGGCGGGGAAGGCGGCGGCCGAGGCGGCAGGGGGGCCGGCAGAGGAGGCGGAGGCGACAGGGGAGGCGGCGGCGGCAGGGGCGGCGGCGGCGGCGGCGGCGGCGGCGGCAGGGTCGCCAGGTGCGGCGGCGGAGGCGGTGGCGGCGGAGGCGGTGGCGGCGGAGGCGGTGGCGGCGGAGGCGGTGGCGGCGGGGGCGGTGGCGGCGGGGGCTGGGGCGGAGGGGCAGAGCGCCAACAACGACGTCCTCCACGCCAAGGGTGTGGGCGGCTCGCCGTCGCTGCACTGGCTTCCCCGACTCGGGTAGTCCCCCCTAGAGAAGGGGAGCACGCGCTCGTGTCCTCCAACTCGCGCTCGAGCGGACACACACTCCACTGCTCTCGACACCGTGGTCCGGCTGCAGCGGCTGCACTCTTCTCCGCCGCACTCGCGCGCCGCTCGGAGCTACGCTGCACGACACCGTCCTTGTCCGCAGTCTGAGGTCTCGACACACCCGCGCCGCTCCTCGCCCTCAGGCTCTGGACAAAGCTGCGGCCCGGCCTGCACCCCTTCTTGCGGCAGCTGGTGCAGCGGTTCGAGCTGTACGTCTACACGATGGGGGCGCGCAGGTATGCCCCCCCCCCCGCCCCCGCCCCCCCAGTGGCCTAATCGCTCGCGGGTGCTGGCGCGAGCCAAACAACAACGGACACCTCGTGGCTCTCTGATGCCCAACGCGCGCACGCGTCCCTCTCTCTCTCTGTGTGTGTGTGTTCGTGTGTGCGGCGGCACTCCTTGTCTCTGCCCAGACAGTGTGAGCGAGTGAGCTAACACCCACCCGCCTGCCTGCGCGCAGGTATGCGGCCGAGGTGGTGGAGCTGCTCGACGCCGACGGGTGCCCTACCCACCCAGTCCCCGAATCCTGCCCCCGCCGTGTGCTCACCCGCCCGCCTGCGCGTGGAGTCGGGAGGGACTAGCCTGGCCGTAGCCCCACCTGCCTCGTGTGTGTGTGTGTGGCGACGCTTTGCCTCACCACCCCCTCTCTCCCACCACCTCTCCCGCGACGCTCACGCGACACTGCTCGAGACCGGCTTCCCGCTTGACGTGGTGGGGATGCCTCTCCCCGAGGTGCCACACACACCGCCTCGCGTGTCATGCCCCCGCGCGTGTGCTCCGCGAGTGCGCGTGCGCCCCGTCGCCCTTGCTAGGGGGGAGATCTGGGGGGAGATCGGGGGAGATCTGGGGAGAGATGACCCCTTGCTACGGACGTGTGCGCCACCCACGGACGCACTGGCCGACGTTGGCGGCCCGCCGCCCTCCTCCAGGTCGCTCGGCTTGCGCGGCAAGGAGCGCGGCATCGCGGCCAAAGACGCGGCCTCGCGAGAGACAATCTCCGAGAAAGCAGTCTCCCCGTCCCTAGGACCGCGTCATCGCGGCCGAAGACGCGACCTCGCGAGGCGGGCAGAAGGGGCTCGACATCGTGCTCGGCGCCGAAAAGGCGCAAAAAGAAATACACAGAAACACGGGCCCCTTTCCCCCCCCCCCCCTTCCCCCCCCCCCCTCCGCCCAGACCGCACGCCGCGGGCAGCGTAGTCGAGAGGACGGCCGGCGGGCAGAGACCGAGTGGTCGGGCAGGCAGCGCCGAGTGGCCGGCTGGCGTGCCACCCTCCTTGCGCGAGATAGCGGGAGATGTGGGGAGATGTGGGGAGAGATAGCGCGAGACGGCCCCCCTGTGGGGAGGTATAGCGGGAGATATGGGGAGATGTGGGGAGCTCTAGGCGCCGAAGACACCATCCTCATCGTGGACGATTCGGCCGCAGTGTGGCCGAAGCACGCGCCTCCCTCCCTCCCTCCCCCCCTCCCCCCCTCCCTCCCTCCCTCCCCCCCTCCCTCCCTCCCTCCCTCCCTCCCTCCCTCCCTCCCTCCCCCGCGCACTTCTTCTTTGTCGCAGCGGTTTCTTTTGAGCGCTGCGTTTCTTTTTGTAGGCACGCGCCGCAGCTGCTCGTCCCGCGGCGCTACCACTTTTTCGACGCGTCCGCCGCCCGCGACCGCAACACCGACCGATCGCGGGGGCCGCCGCGAGGGCTGCTCTCCCGCGGCAAGGACGCGTCTGCGGAGCGCGGGCAGTTCTGGCCGACGTATTTCGTGTGAGTTTTGGCGTGCTTCTTTTGCAGGACGAGTCTGCGGAGCGCGGGCAGCTCGCGGCGCTGCAGCGCGCGCTGACGGCGATCCACGCCGCCTACTTTGAGCGGGTCGACCGCCGCGCCGCCGCCCCGCCGGGCGGCGCGGCGGCGCGGCCGGGCGTCGACGCGGCGGTGGCGGCGGTGCGGCGGCGAGTGCTGGCCGGCGTGGTCGTGCTCTTCACGCGCGTGATCCCGCTCGGGGAGACGGCCGAGCGCCACTACGCGTGGCGGCTCGCCGTCGAGCTCGGCGCGGCCGTCTCGGCCACCGCCACCGACGCGGTGACTCACGTGGTGGCCGGCGCCGCGGGGACCGACAAGGCGCGCTGGGCCGCCTCGCGCGGCAAGGCCGTCGTCGGGCTCGAGTGGCTGCTGGAGTGCGGCTACTTGTGGCGGCGCGAGCCGGAGAAGGCCTACCCCCCGCCGGCGGTGCCTTCCGACGCGGCGCCACTGGGGCTCTCGCGCGATACCCTGCCGCCGCCAAGGGTAGGCTGAGGGCGGGTTCTCGCGAGAGAAGGCGGCGAGGCGGGGGGAGCGGGCCACCGGGTCTTTGGTCGGACGATCCGTTCCTCGGGTGAGTTCGCGCAGCTAATGGAAAAATCGGATGCCTCTGGTCTCGCGAGGTCTCCCAGGGAAGGGGAAGTCGGAGCAGACGGCATCGTCGGCCGCCGCGAGGGAACGTTTGGAAGAGGCACGAGCGGACGCCGGAGGGCGCTGGGCCGGTGGGCGGCGACCGCACGAACCCCCTCTCCGACTAACGACTATGGTGTATATGGAGGCGGAGATTCGTCGCCAGACGACGCAAGGCAGACGACGGGGGAGAGTTGGAGCAAACGCGCAGCCGCAGGGCGAGACCAGGGGCCAGGGCGAGACGCTGAGCCCTGGCTGTCAGGCTGTCAGGTGCTGTCAGGCGTGATCTGTCTCAGCTGGCTGTCAGGCACTGTCAGGCACTGTCAGGTGCCTCTGTCAGACCAGCTGTCAGGTGCTGTCAGTGCTGTCGGGAGCTGTCGGGTGCTTGTCTGACATCAGAGGGGCTCCGTAGCTGTCGGGTGCTGTCGGAGCTGTCGGGTGTTGCTGTCAGACGCAGGTCAGACGCTGTCGGAGCTGTCAGAGCTGTCGGGCTGCTGCTGCTGTCAGAGACGCCGGAGCTGTCAGGTGCTGTCGGTTGGTGCTGTCGGGGTGCAGTCAGGCTCTGACACACTATCCACACTTATGACATTATCAAGAGGAGACCAGCAGGACTCTACTACACATACTCTAGTCTCTACTCTGCCAGAAGGGGTCCGCCTGCGGGGAGCGCAGATGGCGGCGCAGGCGCAGGTGCGGCGGCGGCGGCAGCGCGGCATAGACGGCGGCGGCCACCCCCACCCAGACGCCGTAGGCATATGACTGTAGGGCCCCAGAAGGCCAGCTGGTAGCTTCATTTGTAGTAGCACAGCCGCCGGTGCTAGAGAGGGGTCCGCAGAGGTGGGGCGGGAGGGACGGAGGGTTGAGAGAGAGAGACCCATGACCAGCCCATGACTCACATGTGCATGCACATGTGCATGCACCACACTCATATCTCATATGTGCATGTCTTTGCATTTTTGTTATACCCTCATGGGGCGCAAGAAAGAGGCTGCACGGCTGTGTACGGTCTGTGCTGCTGTCGGGCTGGTGGCGCGTCCCCGAGTTCTTCCATGGGCGCTCGCATGTGTGCTCAGGGCACCTCAGGGCTACTGCGTGACGCGTGGCTCGGCTCCGCGAGCCACCACCCTCGCCCAGGGATCTACAATGCTGTCTTAAGGTCCGACAGGTTCGGCACCGGGCACCGGGCACCACCTCGGTATTCAAAATGCGCCTGCGGGCGGACCCTTACAGATCACAGATCACAGACTTCTCCAAGTTTCTTTAAATCACTGTGAGAGTCGTGATTTCTTGTGTGTGTTTGGGTTTCTATGTTTGCGATTTGGATTTTGGATTTCCGACTGCAGTTTCTTTATTAGAAGCCGTCGTCCGCGCTTTGCCTGTTGTGTGAATCGTGCGTGTGCGAGAGAGTTTTGTTGTAAAATTTCTTTATTTATTTACCTGGAAGGGGTACAGCTTGGAAGGGGTACAGCTTGGAAGGGGTACAGCTTGGAAGGGGTACAGCTTGGAAGGGGTACAGCCTGGAAGGGCAGCTGCTCGAGAAGGTCAGCCTGCCACCGCCCACCCTCTCTCCACACCGCTCGTTGCGAGCTGCCGGCGCTTGCGGGCACTCGTTGGTATTGCCTCACCGCCGGGCGGCGGAAGATGCGCGCACCGGCGCAGCAGGAGCACCCGTTACCTGCTCGTTGGACACGCTCGACACTCGCAAGTCCTCTCTCGCCCGCTCGACCTCCCTGTGTCCACGCTCCTTGCTGTCCGCTCGCAGGTGAGTGCTTTGACCCGTCCACGGCGCGAGTCGCCTCTGGCGCAGGGAACGCGATGCTGTCGCGCTTTCTCGTCATGCTGCTGGCTTCGCTCGCCCACGGCAGGGAGTGCGGCCACGGCGTCTGCGGTGGAGACTGGTGGGGTTCCTTTGACCGCGCAGGCTGGAGTAAGTGCGAGCAAGGCTGCGCCATGACGGGAATGTGCCTTGTGTAGATGGCCGGTACTCCACCCGAGCGTTCCCAAGCCGACTCACTGACGCCTCAATTTTCCCAAGCCGACTCACTGACGCCTCCCAGGTACCGGTCGGGAGGCACCAGCCTCTTCAACCTCGAAGAGGCCGAGTGCTGCAAGGTCGACAACCCGCTGTTCGAGACGTGCCAAGAGAAAGACATCGGGATCTCTTTCGACAGCCAAGGCTGGGCTGAGTGCCAAGTCGACCACTACATGGTGGGCCTCAGGCGCAGCGATTGCGAGGAACTTTACTGCATCGAGGGACTGTCCTGCTGCAAAGGCGGTGGCAACATCCCTGACACTGACCCAGCCGTCCACTCTATAATTCTCGTCTCTTCATGTGTCCCAGGCGATGGCTCCCTGATCAACTGCGAGTCAAAGTGGGATCCGGGCCCGTTCGATTCGGAAGGGTGGTGGAGATGCCCCGGCGACAAGGCATGACGCCGCCCTTGCCTAGCGAACTCCTCCCTCACCTTCACACAATAATGGGTCTCGGGGGTGCCTTTAGGTGATGACGGGCATGTTTCGCAGCCACGGCAACAGCCTGTCGAACATCGAAATGCTCAAGTGTTGCGACTACGTGCTGCCTCCGCCGCCGCCGCCGCTCCCGCCGGGCATGGCTCCCAAGCCGCCGCCGCCAGTGGAGCCGGCGTCCATTGCAGTGGTGGACTGCTACTCGACCGGCGTTCCGTCGTGGCTTACCGAGATGAACAAGCCCCTCCCGCCTGACCCGCGCGGCTGCTGGGAAGTGTTTCCCAATGACCGATGCTTTAACATCGAGAGCCTGCAGGCAGAAGGCTGGACCTGCAAGGTCACTCCAGCCATTCACACACAGCAATTGTTCTGCTTCTTCTTGACGCAACTTGTGTGAATATAGGACAACGGCTGTGCGATGTCGGCCGAGACACAATCCGAATGCGCCAAGAAGGGAGGGGTTTGCGGCAACTACAAGTGCAACGAGACGCCACATTTCGACAAGTGCTTTGACCGAGAAACCGCTCGGTGCGTGGAGTGCGACACGTGGAGGAAGGTTGGTGGGCAAGCGTATCATCATGCACAGCATTGCTTCACGCGTGGGACGACCTCTTCCAACCTGATACAGCAGCAGGCTACCTGCAACCTCTGGGATCCCGCCCACGGCTGGAATTGCGACTGGATCACGGCTGATCGTGATTTTGCCCCGTGCGCCGCGGATGCCGCGTCATGCTCCGGGGACATCAATCGTGACGCCAAATCCCCGTGTGGGTTGAACTTCTCTCCCACTTGCTCGTTCCTCGAGTTGGGGAAGTGCGCGACAGGGGGTGGCAAGTCGCAGGGCCACTGGCAGCAGAGGGACGGCCACGGCGACCCTGAAAAGTCGCAGTGCGTTGAGTGCGAAAGGGACCGCTCCGACGAGTTCAAAATGATGCAAGAGTGCGATAGCGCCACCGCTGTTGCAATTCTGCGTGCGGTCATGACTCGACGTCCACCTTGTCGTAGGTACCTGACGACAGTTGTCAAGCTGCCGAAGCAGAACTTCTTGGCCGCGTCCGCTTGCCAGATCAAGGAGCTCGGCTCCAACGGCCTCCTTGGTCAACTCTGCCCTGCGGGCACCGAAGCGATCCCGTCTCGCGGGGACCCCGCCCCTCCCGTGACGGTGGATGGGCCTTGCAATCTCAACCCAGCAGGTCGTTTGAGCTCGCTCGCCGACACAGCATGACCATTTGATAGAGCTATCAGTCAGTCGATTCCACCCCCCTGATCGCACAGGAACTTGCGTGACCTCGCCGAGGTGGCCACACTACTACCACGGGTACACCAAGTGCACCATTCGCAACGTGCCGAGCACTTTCCCTCTCCGGGTCTCTTCTTTCGACACCGAGCGTTGCAACGGTTGCGGGTGCGACTACCTCGAGATCGACGGGGTGAAGTACTGCGGGAACGATGGACCAGACGGCGTCCTTGCGCGCGGCGGCGACATCACGTGGTACTCTGACAAGAACTCAGGCGGCACGGGCTGGGAGCTTTGCTGGCCACACGACACGCCTCCTTCGCCAGACGACGGGGTCGACTGCAACTGTGCGACAAAGACGACGACGCTTGGTGGGGACTGCACCTGCTACTCGTGCGGGGAAACCTCTGAATGCAACAAATGCGACGTGTGCGGGGCGCCGGTGGGCGACTGCAGCCCCAGGTCGGCCAAATCCAGCTACGGATGCTACTTCTACTATGACACGCCGCCAGTGCACGTTGGGCGCGTTCAACTAGGATGCCCACATTTATCCTGCTCAAACACGTAATCTATTTTAGCGACGAATGGTAGGTGCGCCGTCGTCGACGACGGAATGTACCGGAACGACGACCCGGAGCCGATGGAGAAAAGCCTGAAGTGCCCTCCCGGCACCTGGTCCTGCCAGGCACTCCTCGCGGAGGCATCTCCCACCGATTTCCCGATCCTGAACACATCGGCGTGCTGGTTTCCCGCAAAATCGCCGCTCGCACTCCGCCTCGATGAGGACGAGAGCGGCGGCGACGGACCGCCACCCTCGGCGGCGATATACGAGCAGTGCCTCCAGCCGCCGCTTGTCTTCTTCGCAAGAGCTCCGTCCGGGAAAGTGCAGTCCGCCAGGCCGTCCATCCCAGAAACTTACCTCTGCGACGCAGACGATGGCGGCGATCCGAAGTACTTCTACCACGCGACGACTACGGCGGTCGATGCGATCCTTGACTGGGACGAAAAGGCCCAACGTGAAGTAGCCCTCTCCCCTGGGTGCGCCCGGCTCAGTGAGGCACTCTGTGCGAGCAGGCGTGCAACGGCGCTTTCCTCTTTGAGCGCGACGACTTTGAATGGGATGCGATCCTCAGCGGGAAGGTGCACATCCGCAAACGCGTGG